CGACGGGTGGCGGGGGCGGCGGGGACGGCGACGACGTGCGGCGGGGGTGGCGACGACGGGCGGCGGGGGCGACGGCACGGCGGCTCGGCGGCGTCGGCGTCGGCGCGATAGATTGATGTCGCGCGAGAAGTGGTCGACGATAACTGATTTTTCGTAAGTGTAGTATATATAGGAGAGGCCTTTAGTACCGGTTGGTGGATCCAACCGGTACTAAAGGGCAACACATTAGTACCGGTTGGAGCTACCAACCGGTACTAATTGTCGTGCGCTGCCACCCGCAGTGCGCTGTTTTTAGTCTCACCTCGCCGAGCGAAGGGCAGCCACACTGGTTTATAAACCCAACCGCGACTGCCCTTTCGAACTCCTCTATATAGCAGGCGGGAAACGATGGCCTTTAGTACCTGTTGGTGGCTCCAACCGGTACTAAAGGGCAACACATTAGTACCGGTTGGAGCCACCAACAGGTACTAATGGTCGTGCGCTGCCACCCGCAGTGCGCTGTTTTTAGTCCCACCTCGCCGAGCGAAGGGCAGCCACACTGGTTTATAAACCCAACCGCGACTGCCCTTTCGAACTCCTCTATATAGCAGGCTTCTGGGCCTAACTAGGGCGCGCTGTCCTGTGAGCCTGCTGGCCCTTCTGGGCCTGAATTTGCACACCCTAGGTCTGGCAGGCCCACCGGACAGCGCCCCAACAATTTTTATTTTTATTTTCCTTTTTTGCATTATTTATTTTCTTCTATTTATCTTTGAGTAATTTTTTATATAGATTTTTCTTTTCTTCTTTATTTTTTTCTTCTATTTATTTCTGAGTAGTTTTTTTTGCTGTATTTAGTTTTTTTGTCAATATTTTTGCTTTATATAGTTTTCAGAGTTTGTTTTGTAGTGATTTCCATTTTCACGGTCATTTAGCTCTGATCTAAACAAATCGGTGACTGAAAAACAACAAATGATGTCAGAACATGTTAGAAATTGATGACGACGCTTCGAATGCTGCATAATGCCGGCTCAAAAAAAGTCTGGAGTTCAAATAAGTTAAAAAAATGAACTGCCCGTGTAACTGATGAGTTCTCGTCCGAAACCCTAATACTTCGAAAGAGATTGTCCAGTTTGTACACGAAGTTCGTCCAGTTTTTGCCGTGACCCTCTCTACTCTTTCGCACATGCTATGCGGGTGAAATGATGATACCTTCAACATTTTCAGAGTTTGTTTTGTAGTGATTTTCATTTTCACGGTCATTTAGCTCTGATCTAAACAAATCGATGACTGAAAAACAGCAAATGATGTCAGAACGTGTTGCAAATGAAGGAAATATGCCCTAGAGGCAATAATAAAGTTATTATTTATTTCCTCATATCATGATAAATGTTTATTATTCATGCTAGAATTGTATTAACCGGAAACATGATACATGTGTGAATACATAGACAAACATATAGTCACTAGTATGCCTCTACTTGACTAGCTCATTAATCAAATATGGTTATGTTTCCTAACCATTGACATGTGTTGTCATTTGATTAATGGGATCACATCATTAGGAGAATGAGGTGATTGACATGACCCATCCCGTTAGCTTAGCACTTG